TGTTGATGTTTTATACTTTAATCCGGTGCTTTACTGCCGTTATAAGCAAAGAATTCCCATGTCCTGTGGATTTTCTATCTACATGGAACTATTATGCCAATAGTGGCAGTGCAGATCTGGATGGAATAGACCTTGACAATTTCCTTCCAAAGCTTGTATGATGTTGGTAGTGTAATCAATGAATCTTTGTGGATGAATGGATTTCGTAATCTGAAACAACTTTGCATACTGACTTTTTTGGGAAATGGTTATTTTCCCATTGCCTTTTAAATAATACCAATCGCGTAACCAACCAATCTCAAGGCAATGCTGAGAAAAATGAAGCTTTATCTAACAACTTTTGTTGAGTATATGCTGAGGTATATTTCGAGGAAGATTTAAAGGGGCATATGAAAATAAATTGAAGTGATTTGTTGCTAGAATGTCTGAGAATGCAATGAACAAATTTTTTTTAAAGAACTCTCTTCGTTTGCTTTATTATATAGACTTTCAGCCCTTAGCTGGTTTGTCTCTTAAAACTATTTGGAGTTTTGTGCAGATAATATCATAGGAAATAAGAGAAAAAGTTACCTAAGATTTTTCTAAAAGAATTCTCAAAAGGAATCTACGATGATTCTGAGATTATTCCAAGGAAATTGTTGAGAAACTATCAAATGTGTTTAGTTTCAAGCAGATCATCAAAATCAAAGGGTTGTGAAATATCATGACGGCTATCATATATCATTGGATGCTTATCAACGGAAGTTTAGGCTTTGCAGTGATCAAGAAATTGCTCCGTTTCGGTAAATATTACAACATCTTCAGAAAATTAGAACCATTATTCGTTTAAACATCTTTGGTTCAAGAATATCCTGAATTGATAATAATATAATTATAAGAACTCGGTTCACACTTCTCATTAATCTTATTAAATTTGGTTAGTTAACTTGGACCATATCCAGGCCTTATAGGATAAAAACATCAAAATTTAAGGAACGACTTTCTTCAATTTGCATGAAACTTTGCAAAATTAGCTGTTGTGAGCAGACATGGAAAATCATTTACATTCATTTCATGCATTCATTAAAAGTCATTTGCCTCTAACTTTTTTCATCAACAGCATTCCACAAAATGATGTACGGAGATTTTATAGGTTTTAATATTAGCTACAACTTTTGCCCACAACTCAAATCTTTATCTCTTATGCATTACAAACTACAGCGGGCAAAACTTGTTACTGTTTTTCAGTGAATGTAAAATACATTCACTGAAAAACAGTAGTGGCTTCTGTTCACTCTGGATCGTCATGCATAAGAGATACGGATTTGAGTAGTAAACAGAAGTTGTAGTTAATAACAAAACCTACAAAAACTCTGTACATTATTTTGCGGAATTCTGTTGTTGAAAAAAGTTAGGGATAAATGAATTAAAATGAATGCACGAAATGAATGCAAATGATTTTCCATGCCTGGTTGTGAGTACACATTGTTTACAAAAATTCGATCATTTTGGAAACTTATATATTTTTTTCAAAATGACGTAGGGGAAATGGCATAATGTTGGCCTATGTGTTTAAGATTGGACGCATCGTTAAAAATCTTCTATTCATATATTTTATCTAAATGAACGCATCATTGGGACGGTACTTATGGATATTTTTGATCGCTATTGAAAATTTAGTCGATTGTATGGGCCCAAATTAGGGGCATTTAGGCCGACATTACATCCATTTCCCCTATTTGAAATTTTTCAATAAATTGTAGTCAGGTCTGGAAAGCACCACAGAGCGTTAGCAAAGCAACTTTGTGTGGTCCTCCCATGTACTTCGCACACTCTTTTCCAACTAATCTGTGAGAAAGCGATCCACACAATGAACGATACACTCCGTGCGACGCAGGGAGCAAATGTAATACAACAAGCGATAATGTCTTCTTTGAATTCATCGCAGACTTTGCTTACCACGACTGCATGCATAAGAGATAAGGAAAGTCATAACAAAGAAGATTTTTGTCTTTTTGCTCTGTTTACCATTTGCAACCCTACACTGAGTGGCGCTCTTTGCGTCGGAGCCGTCTGAGCGATGGCTACACATTGAGCTTTCGTTATTTCTGAGTGTGTGTCTGTCTTCTCTTCTCCGCTGCTTTACACTTGTGCAGGGTGAAAAACAAGCCAACTTTGTGCTTGCTTGATTCTCACTTTGTATATTTCAGAAAATCAGTACATTGCGCGCATTGAGTGATCAGATGACAGCCCTGATTGTAGTATTTAAACACCACTTCTGATTGAAATGTTTTTTTTTTTTTTTTATGAAACTAAAGCAATTGTGGGAGAAATATACACGGTGTTTTTTTTAAGCAACTCTGAGAAAGCCGAAAAAGTGGTAAAAACTATATATCTTCAACATTTTAAATTTATGTTTTACCTTTACCTTAAGCAAACTTTAGGAGTTTTATAACTAAGGACTTTGGAAAATTTACAAAAACCATACAAAAATACAAAAATGCAGATATACTTTTTGAAATATTTGAGTTTTGAACTCTTAAGGATGTTTTACTAACTCATTTAATTTAAAAAAAATACTATGAATATTTTTCCCAGCAAGATTTTATTTTTACGCAATTTTGGAAAAAAATTAACATCCAAAATGTCCGATTCTTTTAAAAATGAAAGATTGCCCATAACACACAATTATACAAAGTTTTATGCAAATCGGAAAAGGTCAAGTGGAACTTCTCATTGGTTAATTCATTTGATCAGTTAATGGTTAAACCAAATTAATTGTCGAAAATGTTTCAAATGGGACTTTATCCGAATGGATGCATTCAAACTGCTCTGTCAATTGGCGAAAGCGTTGATCATCTCAAATTGATAAACGCTTGAATTCATTCAATTGAGAGTAACCTGTGGAGAAACTTCCGATGTGATCGATGTTCTGATAAAAAGCCTGAGTGTGTCCAATAATAAATAGACTAATATTAGACCTAAACTCAACATTTATCTGATATTGTGTGTTTTACAGGGTGTGGACAAATTATCCGTCTCTGTTGTCTTAGTGTACAGGTCGTATTTGACAGATACTACATTCAGCACACCTGTGCCAACTTGGACCATGGTGCATTGTAAGCACACGTGCAAAGTTCAATTAGAATCGGTTGACGAGTAAATTTCACGAGTTCATGTAAATTTTACCAACTTCGAACTTTTTTTTATATAATAGACTAGCAATTACATTGAAGGTGGATTATTTTGTCTCACCCTGTAATCTTAAATTTGAACTAACATCAGCTTAAGATTGACCTGACTCTGATCCAACGTTGAACAGAATTAATTAAATTGTTCTGTTAGAAAGCGTGTACATATATATATATATATACATAATATATTTGAAAAATTGTAACCATTGTTTTAGATGAGTAAAAAAACAGTCTTAGATAATTGATTCAATCAAAAGCTGTCTAAAATGAGAATGATCTAATAATTGAACTTCAGTAATATGGCTTGTCTGCAAGATTACCTCTCATGCTTCTAAATAAACTGCAGAGGTACATCATTTTTCTAATTCTAATAATTCTCAACTACGATTGGTGTATTTCACAGCTCTCAAATTCTAAAAAGCCACTCCAATACATACATTTTAAAAGAAACGTGGGTTACTACTATGAATTATCTGGTGTCATCTTCTTGAAATTACCTCCGCAGTTCAATATTCTGATTCTTAGCATACCATATATAAAGCCGCAATACTTTGGGATAATGTAATACCTTCTAGATACCCAAAGCGTTTTCTTTCAACAGCCCAGAACTGTCCTGGCCACATCTTTGCAACCAGTGGGGATGGAGAGCGAATGCTTATCTGATATTTAATAAAGAGTGATGCAGAGAACTCCACGACCCGTCATCTCCCTTGCTCGATATCTGAATTAAGAGCATTTATTGGCATTAAATCCTTGAATAATCATAAATCATGATCTTGCGATCATCCGAATAGTAATAACTGTGATTTTTACGATCCAGAATGGTTAATATTCGTTTAAATCGCGGTATACAATCAATGATATTTAGTTGCATAACCATTCCACGAAATTGTTCCACTGCTCCAACCAGCTACAAATGTAAAACTGGATGATCCCAAACAATAAAAACAACCACTGACTTTTTCCGACTTTCTGTTTGCCAAATCTAGCCTTCACTTTGATTCACCAACAAAAAAAGAAAAAAACTCCCGGCTCCCCAGCCCGAACCAAACGAAAACGAACAGCGCAAATATCCTGACTTTGTCACCAAAGTACACAAAAAGAAGATAAATTGCCTAGTTTCCAAGATTGAATTTGATTTAAATTTATGATTTTTGGTGCTTCTGCCTCTCCTTCTGTACGCAAAGAAAAAAAAAGAAAAGAAGAAAACTTTTCCATCCCTTGCCCCCTCCTGCCCTGGGCAGGCTCAATCCAATTGCAAAACAAAATTTACCGCGCATTTTGGAGCAAAGAAAGGGCAGACAAGCCACCACCGCTGCGCCGCGTCCGCGACCATCCGAGCGAGCGAATTACTTTTAATAAATGGAAAATCTTTGTTCAATTTCCAAAAGTGCGAGCGCCCTCGCACCATCCATCTCGCGAGATTCATCGGTCGGGCGGAAGGGAAGTCGCTGTGATAAAAGCACGCCAAGTCATTCGAAACCATTCGCGCCATGCCTGGAGGGGAAGATTTACAATCCGCCCACTGCGTGCCACTTCGGATCTCATCTCTGGTTGTCAAGTCAGAATTGTTGTTTTTTTTTTTCTCGGCTATAATTGTTGGGTTATTAACCAGAGTCAATTGGAATGACATAAGAACAAAGGAGTAAACATTTGCAAACTTCACCACCATATGTGAGATGCTCAAGCAATTATAGAGGTACTGTTTTTCTTTGGTTGGATCGAAGGGAAATCATAAGAGAGGAATCAAAATTGAAAAACGAAGAAATATGTATTACTTTGTATTGTTGATCAAAGGAGGCATTTAGGGAAATTGTTCCAACTTACCACCGCGGTTCTCGCTATCCGCTGGCTTAACTTGAATAGCACGGTTCATCTGAAAGGATAGAGAAATAAACAGTTGAGTAAGTGAATTGTGTATTATTCTTTGAGTTTTTGATGAGTAGTGATGCATTCAATAACAATTAAACTTTGGCACAAGTTTCCTTGGTGAAAATGCCTCGCTAGAAGATGAGGGTTGTAAGCACAAAGAAGATTTTAATGTTTTCAGCCGTTTTTAATTTATATTTAATTTCGGCACGACTCCTGAGCCAAAGCATTAAGCTCTTGTATGCCTGTGTGCGCGTGGGGATCAGTGATCCTATGGAAAGTGGAATTAAATTTTCAGCGGTGAAAAATAAGAGCGATCCGAAACCGAGCGGTGAATCCTTACAAACACAATATGATTGAATCGACGAATGTTTGCGGTTGTGGTGGTGGTGATGGCAGAAGCAGCATCTTTTATAGGAACTCAAGCCGACCATCAACGCACCGGAGCCGAGCCGAGCGAGAGTAATTTTCATTTTAATCCTCCTTTACGTCATTCACAAAGCCGCAACAATGTTTTCGTTTCATTATAGCAAATTTTCGGTGTGTTATTTTCCCATTCCTTGACGTAAGCCGTTTATGCTTGCGAGGAGGCGCCTTTTCGGGGAAAACCACACCGGGAGAAAGGTATAATGAGTGCTCGCGAGAAATATTTATATGTTTTCGCTTGCTTTAGATAAATTTTAATAGTTATTTCATCATTCGAGTTTTGCTTGCTTGGGTGAAGTTGTTGAAAAAATGAGAGGAGCACGAGGCAGACGGTTTATTTCTTAATTTCTTCGAGCTCGCGGGTTAATATTATCAAAAACAGACGACAAAGACGACGACGACGGCTGGATGGAAATACATGAAAATGGTTTTATTTCCACTGCCACTACGCACCACCGTTTACCGCCGACCACACGCAGGGGAGAAGGGAACTTATAGGTATTTAGGTACCTACACAATTGGGAAAAGCGGCAGTAAAAGTGAATGTTTCAGAGTCGTCGTAAACAAGAAGGGCTTTTATCTTATCGTCACAAATAGCGGAGTAATTGAAGTCTGCTGATAAGTGAGGGAATTGCTAGCGATTGGGAGGGAGTGGTAACATGTTGTTCCCATTTGTATAACAAAAGAATCGTGAATGTGAGTTGTGGTGTCGTGGATGGAAAATCATTAACATTTGTTCGAATGATTGTTTAATGTAACTGTTTAAGGAAATCTATGATGCAGTCAGTTAAATTAAGTATGGGATATAACGTTTTCTCGCCAATCGAAGCAGCGTTCGCGTTTGATTTACTTTAATTAACATCGGTCTCTGTTCCACAATCGAGTGGCAATCAACGACGAGAGTCGATTTCCAATAAATCATATCGTCAGGCCATTTTCCACACAGCGCTGTTCCGCTGGTAGGAAGTTATAAAAATGTCCATACAGACATTGAAAGAAGTGGCAATCATTCGCTTTCGATGCATATTCAGATCAAAAATAGTGAACGACAAACTAAAGAAATCAGTTAGAGACTATGTCGTTTTTTTTTTCTTGGATATCATTGTTAAACAAGCTACAATTAAATAGAAACAGAATTTTCACATACAATTTTACCAGTCCCTACAGAACCGAAGCATTCAAATCCAAGAGTGAAAATTTTCTCTCACGAGCATGCCATGTAGGGTTTTTGATCTAATTTCCGTCCTACTAAGCACAACCCACGCTCTATTTCTTGAACGGGTTTTAACAAAAAATTAAATGTTTCTATCAAAGATGACTTATAAATTTATTCCCCTTTCCAGAAGTACCGTTGAATTTGATAAAAAGCCATATTGAGATATTGTCAAAACTCTAACACTGCTTCTTGATTCCAAATTCGTCCTAAGAGTTTCAATTCCGTCCAAACGCCTTGAAACGCCATTGGATTTTCTTCGTCCTACGGATGAAAGTAGAAAAACCGGGCTCTTTAGGAGCGCTTCTTTTGTTTTGAGAACAATGAGTGTAAATATTCACACAATACGCTCTAATAAGCTTTGTGATGCAGCTTGTGAACTAACGCATCGGTACAAACGTATTACTACCCTAGCAAAGTCTGAGATCAAATTGAAATCTAAATTTGATGTTGTGATTTCGCTGATAATGATTACTCAGGATGCTGTCGTTTTGGTCGTTTTAACGGTTAAAATATCAAAATTGATAGCAAAAAAATCTTCCTGTGACATCACATTGAAAACAATTTCTGCTATCAGTGAGAGCAAACTGAATACTCAATTTGATATCAATTTTTCCTGTGGAAAACAAAACAAGTGTTCAATTTGATGTTATGCTAAGGCAATGAAAACAAACCCGTAGCAACATAAAGGGTGATACGGTCAAAATTTGGTCAAGGGAAAACGCGTGTAAATCGGTGAAATCGTTTATTTAAAAAATCAAATTAAATTTCTTTTTCAAGTTCAATTAGTATAAAATTCAGGAAAAATATTCAGTTAGGCTTCCGCTTTTCCAAATCCGAATTGCCGGGCCTTACGCTTGACCCCTGCCATCAGATTTTGTACAGCCACCTTGTCCACCTTCTTCGCCGCAGAAAGCCAGTTTGCCTTGAACTGCTGCTCGCCCTTAGCAGTTTTTGGTCTTCTTTAGGTTCCGCTTGACAATAGCCCAGTATTTCTCAATTGGGCGGAGCTCTGGCGTGTTGGGAGGGTTCTTGTCCTTGGGAACCACCTGCACGTTGTTGGCGGCGTACCACTCCATGGCCTTTTTACCGTAATGGCAAGATGCCAAATCCGGCCAAAACAGTACGGAACAACCGTGTTTCTTCAGGAAAGGCAGCAGACGTTTATTCAAACACTCTTTCACGTAAATTTCTTGGTTGACAGTCCCGGAAGCTATGAAAATGCTGCTTTTCAAGCCACAGGTACAGATGGCTTGCCAAACCAGATATTTCTTTGCGAACTTTGACAGTTTCATGTGCTTGAAAACATCTGCTACCTTTCCCCTTCCTTTTGCCGTATAAAACTCCTGTCCCGGAAGCTGCTTGTAGTCGGCATTTGACGTAGGTTTCGTCGTCCATTACCACGCAGTCAAACTTCGTCAGCATCGTCGTGTACAGCCTCCGGGATCGCGCTTTGGCCGTCGTATTTTGTTTATCATCGCGATTTGGAGTCACTACCTTCTTGTAAGTCGATAGTCCGGCTCGTTTTTTGGCTCGATGCACGGTTGTAGACGATACACCCAGCTTATTTGCGGCATCTCGGAGAGAGAGGTTAGGGTTTCGCTTGAAACTACCGGCAACTCTCTTTGTCGTCTCAGCGGCTTCCGGTTTTCAATTTCCCCCCGATCCAGACTTCCTGGCTGTCGACAAACGTTCCCCAAACACTTTAATTACATTTGTAACGGTTGATTTGGCAACTTTTAGCGATTTTGCCAACTTTGCGTGCGAGTAGCTCGGATTTTCGCGATGCGCGAGCAAAATTTTGATACGCTGCTCTTCTTGCTTGGACGGCATTTTGACAACTGAAGAGTGAATTCCAAAATCAAAATAGGAGCAACATTCTACACACACACACCTTCAAAATGAGGGGTGTTCAGGTTTTTTAAATACAAAATTGAAAGAAATACGTCAAGTTGATATTGACCAAATTTTGACCGTATCACCCTTTAGAATGTATTGCTGTTAGCTATTCATTTCAATCGGTGGAATTGTCAAAAGCTGTTGAAAAACGTTTTAACTACGATTTAAACTTCTCATGTGAGTTTAAACTGCGTGTCCAATCGCTGTTATATTATCCGCAACTCAGCATCATTCTACGGTACGTACAAGCACATAAATGAGTCAAGTTTGTAAGTTCCAAGATATGGTTAAAGTTCAAATTGAAATTTGTGTTGATTCAAAGCCAATATTGGTGGTTTTCAATCCTCGTTTTTGTTTAAAACAAATCTCGCTTACTTTATCAAAAGGATGTATCTGCTTTTGTAAACAAAGATGTAAACGTAAATTTGTTGAAACTGATGATGTTTAAGATGTGCGCGCTGAGCCCACCTTAAGTCCATGCGCCCTCTTTGAATAGCGACCATAATTGTAATACGGGAACGTATAACTGCATGTACACACAATTTAGTACACATTTAGAAATACCTAATTTTACACGCGACGGCATCCATCTTTGACATAAAGGATGAGACGTAAACAAACATGTCATGTAAAATGAAGTGCTTCGAGACTGAAAAGTTCACTACTACTCGAAAGAACGTTTGATTTAGCTGAATTTAACGTCTATTATGACTCAATTTTATGTCAAAATTGACGCTAGTATATGTCAGCCTCAGAGCACCTAAATTTGCATATTTTTTTCTAAGTGTGTACCGACGCAAGGGAGGCAGATCCCACACCTGGACCCTATCTATCGAGCCATCAACTCATGAACCGGGGACCAACGGATTTACTACCTTTTCGAAGTAAGGCATGATCAGAGATGTTATGCCTCAGAACATCCTGGTGGCGCCGACTGGGATCGAACCCAGGCCCTTTGGAGTGAGAGGCAATCACGATTAGCACTACACCACCGGCGCCGCTTGTTCTTATTTGTGAACAAAGACAGTGAAACAAGAATGGTTAGGTAGATCAGAGAGGATGCACAACTACCGTTGTTTGAATTTCTGGACAGTTGGGGTCTACAAAACGCAACACAAGTGGTTATCGAGATGGCTTCCAAGCAAGAAGTGCTTCAACAACAAATTATGGGTTCGGTCGGGGAAAATCCAGGCCAGTCCCACACGTGGATCGCGATACAGTTTGGAATCGACCATTCAACCATGTCCCGTGTGGCAAAATCGTTCAAGGAGACCCAGATGACCCAGTGGCGAGTTGGCAGCGGAAGAAAGCTTCCAGAAGCGCTTGCTGTCCTTCCTCTGGTCCCACGAAGGTGACACTCTGTTTTGGCCGGATCTGGCATCGTGCCATTACGTGAAACCGGTGATGGAGTGGTACGAAGCCAACGATGTTGTTTTTGTGCCGAGGAGACAAATCCGCCAAACTCACAG